GGTAACGATGAAGTTTTTCGTAGCGCCTGGATTGTGACACCGTTCATCATGATGGCGCTAACAGTTAGGAAAGCGTTCAAGGCACAGTTAACAATGTACCACGAACGCAAGTTTTTATTCTCCCTACTCGCGGGCTGGAATATCACCAATTCCTCACAAACTGGATTTTTCATAATCCTTTATATCCTCATCGGTTCCTTCGGTGCTTTTTTTGTATTAAATTATCTCTGTAAGTTCACGGATTATCTGACGCACTTTAAAATGAACAAGAGAACTGAGAAGCCGTTTACTTAAAACCTTATTAAAGTTCATAAAAATTCATTATAAGTCATTATAAGACAAAATATTCATTTTGGGAAGTTTCAAATTCTCTCTCTTTGTCTAAAACAGATGTCGCACAGTCATCTGAAAAATGAGTTCAATTTAACAAATTTTGCCTGACAAATCTAAGGAGCGGGATATCGTTAACTCGCTGCGTGATTTTGCTCTTTTCATCTCAGGCGCAGGCGTAAAATTCAATCGACTTGTGTGTGCAAATGCATTTTTGTTGAAGAAGCATCACCTGCAAACTGGACTCTTTAATTTTTTTCTTTGGTGAATTAGAATAAGATGGGACAGGTTCCTACTGTCAACTAAGCAAATAGTCTTGTCTGCGGTTACGGACTGATTATTCGTAAAAGCACACAAAAAAGTTAAGTGCATGTATATATGCAATGCATTTTCAAACACTTTCCTAGCTAGAAGTTCAATAAATTTAAATGTCGGCGAGACAAAACGGAAGAACACCAGGTTTTCTTTTGTGGTCAGTTCTAAAATGGCAGTTAAGCTAAATTTTAAAGTCACGATTGTTTCATCTTAACGGTCCATATTACGTAATTCGGTGGACTGAGTGCTCCTTGGACCGGTTCCCGAAATGTCAATGATATGATTATTATTCACTTCTTCACTTGTCAATGATATGTTTTAGAGGTACTGAATTTCACCAGCGGACATAAACGAAGGTCGTTACGCGTACAACCTGCTTACAATACTCAGTCCTTTAC